ACTGTTGCCTTTCCTCCCCTCATCATACATATATCTACACCTTATACTGTATTGGGTAATTGTTCATCTGCTTGCCATTAACCCTTTAATATTAATAATGACTGTAACAAAGCTTTTAAATATTCTCTTATGTCACATATTTATTCTCAAGCTGTATCTTAATTACTTATAAGTTAAGGTGACTAAAAGTGGCAGCCATATATTCAGTTTTGGCTACAAAAAGCTGATAGCTGGTTTCCTTGCCACCACTTTTAGAAGTTAGTGTTGAGCCCTGAACATTACAGATTAATATAAAACTTTTTTGATCCTCGAAGTTTAGAGTGCAACTGCAAAATGAAAAGTGGCAGACAATAACAGCCACACGTCATACTTCTGGAGTAATGCACCATTTTTATTAAGAATTTTCACTCTTCTCATTGAACACAATTAAACCGTATGCTCCGATGCTCCAATAAACATTTATTTTGTAATAGTGTGTAATGAAAGACGCTGACTGCAGCTCAACAAGTAGTCTGCTGTTGGCTGAAATCTTACAAAGAGACTTCACAGAGGAGTTAATGAAGGTACAGTGTTTTTAATGAACGTCTATTTAAATGTCATGGCAGAGTTGCAAAAAACAAAAACAATAAACCAAACATTAAAAAACAGTTGTTTTTTTTCGAAGTGGCAGTCAGTCTTTAATAATAGCAAAGAAATGCTTCGTTCAAGTCAAATCCTTCACACGACAGCAAAGTAAAACTGACCGATCAATTCAAACGATGTCTATGGCAGGTCAAACAGGAACCTTTAAAATACAACCAAGGATCTTATTTTTTTTTTCTCTTTCAGAAATGTTAACTACACAATTAAAGGTTTATACTGATCAAAACATACAGAGTGAAGTAGTTCCACTGGAGACAACTCAAACAAGATTAGTGTCTGATAGAAACATAACATTCATTTTACAATAAAAATATCTGCACAAAAACATCCCCCAGAAAGAAAAAAAAGGGTAACGCAAAAAATATAAATGTTTGCTTTTCATCTTTTCAATACAGTCACAAATCACACAGCTGTGGCAACAAACCTCTTTAAAATTTACATAACTGAAAGATAAGGATACCCCCCCACGACCCCTCCCACCCTCAGACTTGATTGTGTTCATTTTTAAGAGCGTATACTGCGATTACAAACGGATTCCCGACTGAACAAAAGCTGCACATCAAATCTTGGATATCAAGACTATCAAAAAAGGCACAAACAGACAGGTTGCACAAAGAACTCAGCAGAAGCTTTTTTATACAACTAATCCCAGTAAGGTTTCCAGTGCCCTTGATGTTCTAACTAAACCCCCACCCCCCACCCCCCAAAAAGACTATCTACAGGAAAGTCAAGTCCCGGCAGGCACCTTGGATTACAAGTCCCATCCCAACTACTGTAGAAGCAAGTGCATTTAATAATCGTGTGACAGACTGGTGTATACAGCGAGTGTGAGGAGCACTGGGACAGACGAGTCTTTACCTCACGCTCAACGTCTGCTCAGGTGAAATTTTGAAAGTGCAAAAACGGTCATTTCTGCAATGGAGGTTTGGTCATTTTTTAAAGTATCATCAGATGAGTTAAATCTCCGTCAACAGAACCAACAAAACCAGTTTTTTTCTGGGTTTCGCTATGAGGGAACTCTGAACAAAAATGTAATTTTTTCACACATAAAATCTGTTTGATATTTTCTGGTATCACTTTATTTTTACAGGTCTTTTAAATCCCTTTATCATGATGAAAGTTTCCTGGAGAGAACTGTGTGACACGAAAATAGAGACTAAGTTTGAGATAGTTATTTCACTTGACTTAATTATTAATTTATTACTGGAAACTCATGTACGGCTGCCTAAAACGCACAAGAGTTCATGGTATCTAAGCTATTAACTGGAATTAACCACTGCTCTACGTTACACTATCTTAGCAATCAACTGGAATGAATTCATTGGAGGTGAAACCATTCAACATTAAGGATGGAAGAATTAGTTTGTTAATTTAATTGTCAAAAAATCTTACAAATGACTCATTGTTTAGTCATTTATTAAGGTAAAATTAAGCGGCAACACTCCAGGGCTGAAAAATGAAGCTGACGTGGAAGTGCCGAAAACTGCAGTTCCTTTAATGGCCACTTGGGGCTGTCTCCAGAAGCGAGTCTATCATGATATACGACCATGTTAAAATGCCAATGTTTACAGCCTGGTATAACAACAGCTTTGGTCTCTGTAGCTAATTTGCCCATTCATGACCACTGTACAGGGGGTGAATTTTTATATCACTCACCTGTTTAAATTTTCTAAAGTCTTAAAGTTACGCATAATTAAAGGTGGGCTGCTTGGAGTGACAGACCGTGCGCTGATCCTTGGCTTTTTAAATCAGATCCACCCCTCGCTTCTCCACAGCGACAGCCTCTCGCCCAAATATAGTCACTTCTGGCTCCAAAAAACCAAGATGGCAACAGCGGAAATGCTGAAGTCGAGGCTTCAGAACACAAGTCCACAAACCAATTGTAGACATCTCAATAGCTACATCCCTTATTTTTTACAGTCTGTGACTGTTCCAGCTTCTCAAAAATGTGAGAATATGTTGATATTATTTTTATTTTTTTTCAATTTCATATGATCGATAACGTGATATCTTTGGGTTTGGGTCTGTTGGTGGAATGAAAAAGGTCATCTGGGAAATTGTGATGGGTATTTTCACTATTTTCTGGCTTTTGTTTAGACCAAACAATTAATTAAAAGGAAAATAACAGACACACTTAATGATGAAAATATATTGTTGCAGCTAAAGTGAATGCTGTTCAATTAGTACCAAATGACACAATTCTTTCCAGAAAACTTTCAAGAATATTACCAATTTACAGACCTGTAAAATAAAGAATAGGCCAGCTATTTTACCTTTATAGTACAGATTTATCCGAAGTTTAACTTCTCAACAGTGTCTGTGAATCTTGTTTTCGCTGACCTCTGAGCTGCAGTGACGAAGGAGTGCATTCCTGGGTCACACCATGACATCACTGGTGGGTGTCGTCTGACTGACCAATTATGGCTTGTTTCAGCAGAGCATCAGCTTCCTCTCTGAGCCCCTCTTCAGCGTCAGGCTAGCATTATTTATCCAGCTCAAAGAAAAAAACACACATTTAAACTGTGGTTCTTTGGCTCTGTCCACTGTGATTTACTTCAACCGGAGCAGTTCTGCCCTCGAGAGAAATGTTTACACAACTCAGACTTACTTTTTGACATGTATGAAAATGTAGAGTAAGAAAAGTTCACTCATCTTCTGTTAGAAACATTAAATCATGAGTTTACAGCTCGCTCAATACTTTTGTCACAGACCATATACATTGTAATCGTCACTGGAAAGAATTAAAAAATCAGCCGATGCAGCTTGATAGCTCTTAAGTTGTCTTATTTTATATTCAAATCTCTAATTTCTTACTTTAAGTGCCAGCAGAGAAAGATTCTTGGAGAATCCTTTCAGGTAGATTTTGACTTGAATCTACTTCGAGACGCTTTAGTGTCGTAAATAATACTTTGTTTCATTCATTAGGTCACTCACACATCACCAGACGAGCTTTACTTTTGAAACTGCAGTACTGTAACCCAACCAAAGGCTAGGCGTTACCATGAAACAGAATATATTTGAGGCCCACTTGTAAACAAACTGAAATGACAGCCATTAGACGCAGCAGTGCTACTCAAATGAAATGACACGGTTGGTTGATGAAGCCTTTGAAGCTTCTGGCTTGTTTGTTTTCCCCCCGAAGTTTACACATATATAATCTTTAAAGTCTTAATTCCCTTCACTCGAAATAAAATCTTCAAATTCAACAGTCTTTAATCAGCAGTTACTGACAAGAAGTAAAAATATGGTCTTGACTTCTGCTGCTTTTTCTTTTTTTTGTTGTAGTTGTACTGCAGTTGTCAGCTGGTACGTACACTGCCAACTGTTATCAGCATGAAAATGTGCAATTTAAAGCTTTTTTACAACGGACAAAATGTAAAACCTGATCTGTTAGGTTTGAGTATTGTTTCAACTATCATGTCTGGATCCCATTTCTCAGCCTGAGGAAACAACATGTTTTGTGGTTTCGGCGTGACTGGTATAAATACAGATATATGGTTATTCTCCTATTTGCAACCACAACAAGACGTCTTAGCATGCAAGATGGAGTTTGGCTAAGGAGACTGAAATCTGTAAATGGAAATAAAATGAAAACAGACGAAGAAAACGCGGAAGCAAAAGAAACAGGACAAAAAGCACCATGTGATGGGGAAGTGTGATATACCACAAAAAGGTAGAACAGAAAGAGCCTGGGCGCTCTCCCGGCGGATCTGCCCGGCTTGTGTGGCACTTAACATCGTCGTCTTTGTATACAGAGCTTATAACAGTCATGCAAAGGGCACAGTATTATTCTAACAAGGCGAGAGAGAGATTAACAGAGACTGAAGAAGTAGAAAGAAAAACACGAAACAGGAAGAAAAAGGAGGCACGACAACAGACGGAAAACAGGTTCTGTGTGAATTCTTGTCCTGACGCAGTAAATTTCCTCCCACATGAAAGATATCATACTGTACGTACAGACTTGTGTGAAATAAACAGACTTTTCCTTTAGGTTTCTCATGGCTAAGGCAGATATCGATGGTGAAATGTTTCAATGCACTTGTAATTTGGTGCATTTACACAAAACCTGACATTTTACTGAAGCCGATGGGAAATGAAAACGGGAATTTGTGTGTGTTTAACAAAAAGAAAAAAGGTTATAAATTCATTAGATTAACCTTCTATCATCACTCTTGCCATTAACATATCTTAAGACTCTTTGGGCTATATATATATACACACACA